CAAAAAAAAACGAAAACCAGTTTCCCATGAATCCTGTGTAAAAAAACAATCCGTGGAGGGCGGCTGGATATTTCCCGGACGCCACAAGGGGAGAGAGGAGAGTAGTATTCATAGTGTGTCATTGTGGAGGAGGAGGAGGAGGAGGAGGAGGAGGAGGAGGAGGCTTTTTTGGAGGGGGGGGGGGGAAAGTGGGGGGGAGCAGAGGGACGAGGAGGATGAGGAGGAGGAGGAGGAGGAGGACGGCGGAGGAGGAGGAGAAGGAGGACGAGGAGGAGGAGGAGGAGTAGGACGGAGGGAGGAGGAGGAGGAGGAGGAGGAGGAGGAGGAGGAGGAGGAGGCCTCTCGGATCTCTGGGATCTCAAGGCCTGCGCGTCACTCTGGGGCCGCGCGCCTGCGCGGAGAGGCGCGGCGCGCGGTGCGCAGCGCACTGCAACCCTCGTCAGGTAAGGACCTCCCCCAAGAACGAAAGCCTCCGGGGCACATGCCTTAGCCAACGCCCCCACCGTTCAGTCTTCCATTAGAGACCTCCTAGATGGGGTCCGAGTAGATGGGGGTCGGAGGATCGCGCCGCATCGCCGATGCATCGGCGATGCGTCGGCGATGCATCGGCGATGCACGGGCGACGTCGGCGTGGAGAAACACGGGCTCCACATCGGGCCGCGTCGTCGATGCATGGGCAATGCGGCGCGATCCTCCGACCCCATCTACTCGGACCCCAGCAGGGAGGCCAATATCCATAGAAAAAGAAACAACGGTGTATACATACGTAAACTTTCGACGGTCCGCGCGGATTTCTTGAATCTGCGCTGGGCCCCCCTCCTTGGCGCGCGGAGCGTGCCAGGGGCGGCGCCGGAGGCGCCGCCGGGGGGGCCCCGGCGCGGACCCAAGAAATCCGCGCGGAGCGTCGACAATTCATCTTCGTGCTGTTCTGTTCTGCTTCGATTTCGCGCCGACGCTAGGAATCGAAGACCGACCGAACCGACGGCAAGACCGAAGCCGACCGACCGAATGCAGCCTCGAAGGGCGCGGGGGCGCAGCGGCTGCCCGCCACCGGAGCGGCTGCACGATCGAGGCCGCCCGCGCAGCGGCCGAGCTCGGAGGGCCCGTTGAGGCAACGGCGGCTCTCGCCAAAAAATCATCAACGCCATAAACATTCGCTCGCTTTTGCGCTCCGCGCTGATTCCTTGGGTCTGCGCTGCGACCCCCCTGGAAACGCCTCCGGCGCCGCCCCTCTCGCTAAAAAATGAGCAACGCCATAAGCATTCATTCGCTTTTGCGCTCCGCGCTGATTCCTTGGGTCTGCGCTGGGACCCCCCTGGCGACGCCTCCGGCGCCGCCCCTGGCGCGCTCCGCGCGCCAGGTAAGAGGGGGGGGCCCAGCGCGGACCCAAGAAGTCCGCGCGGAGCGCCAGAAGTTGATGCTTATGGCGTTTCTTCTTCCTCGATCTCCCGCCCGATCCCCGAATCCGGTCAAGATCGGGGGCGGCCAAGAGGGGGGTGTCCAAGAGGGGTGGGCGCAAATCATGGCCGGCGGCATGTGCGCGGCCCAGGGGGAGGGCCAGGGGCGTAATGAAATAAGAAGAGGCGCTATGAAATCTGGGGAAATATCATGGCCCCAGCCATGATATCCCCCCCCCCCTATCGGGGATCTTCTGACCCGGGTCAATCCAGACCCGGGTCAGCCAGGCCTTGCAGAATCCTGCAAGATCCTGCAAGACCCTGCACCCAAACCCGGGTCAATGCGAAGGATCCTGCAAGATCCTGCAGGATCCTGCACCCAAACCCGGGTCAATGGGAGCCTGGCTGTGCAAGATCCTGCAAGATCTGACGCTCTGGCTGACCCCCGTTTGCATTGACCCCCGTCTCAAGGCTCCCGACCCTAGTCATCACACCCCTCTTTGCCGCCCCCGACGAGATCGGTCCACGGACCCCTGCCGGGATCCGTCCTGGCCAGTCTGCCGAGGCGGATCTCCAGCCGTGGCGGCGGGAAGCCTCCCGGAGGCCCCGCAAAAAAGGACCGGAACCGCCGGGGGCGAGGCGAGGCAGGGCGCGCGTGTGCGCGGGCCGGCGGCCAGCGGGGCCCGGGGGGCCAGCGCGGGCGGGCCGGGGCCCGTAATAGTTAGACGCTGGAGTAGGCGATGGGGTCGTTTGCCAGCGACTGCCAAAATAGGAGGAGGAGGAGGAGGAGGAGGAGGAGGAGAAGGAGGAGGAGGAGGAGGAGGAGGAGGAGGAGGGGGAGGGGGGAGGGGGAGGGGGGAAGGGAGGGGGAGGGGGAAGGGAAGGGGCGGAATACAGTGTCCGTAGCAAGTTCCACCCAGTTTGTGCGTTTGTCCCCCATGTAGTAGAGTGTACGGCAGGTCCGTGTCGTGCCGACCTCGGCGTTGGTGCCTGACACCGCGGGGATCGTTCCACCTGGAACGATCGGTCGTTTCCGCAACGTCCGATCGTTCAACGTCGACCGATTCTGGGCCGTCAACGGCGTTCAACGTTGAACGCCGGCG